CAATTGTAAGATTACGTACATAATAGAAGGATTGACCATTTGACTTTCTCTCTCAATATTCTTATGTGTTCTTGATGATCTTAATGCCATATCTTAATCTGCCATGATGATTGTGAAGATTATTGAAGATTGATCAGAGATTTTGGACACACAATTGGTATCAAAGCGGGAATGCAAGAAATCAGATATAGAAATCAAGAAGATAAGTGATTTTTTTTAATTTCTGAATTTGGTGTTCTTCGTGTTCTTGATTTTTCTTTGTTTTTTATCCGATTTTTTTCATAAAATCTTGTGTTTTTGTGTTAAAAATATGATCAAAATGTTCGAAATTGTGTTGTGAATCTTTGTTATTCACAAATTTTTGTGATTTGATCAACTTTTATCAAGATTTGATCGGATTTTTGTGTTTTTAAATTTTTTTCGTGTTCTTGAATTTTTTTTGTAACCAGTGTTTTTGATCCATTTTATTCTAAATTTGTTTTAGTTTTTGTGTTTCTGATTGGTTTTGATCTGGTTTTACTATGATTTTTTTGTTTAATTTTGTTAATTCGTCCAAAACTTCAAAAGCCCATTCAAAAGCCCAATTTTTTTTGCCCAATATACATTTGACCGGATAAGAGCCCGCTTACAGCCTCCATCTTCATCGTTTCCATCTACACCGCATACCATTCAAGCGGTGTTTGTCTAAACCGCAGAGCTCTTGTTCTTAAATCGAAGGTGTAAGCTTCTTGACCGGATTGTTCACCGGTTGATACTTCTCTTCAATCGATTTCAAGGGTAAACCTCACCATTCAATCGGTATTCATCTTCACCGCACATCACTTGAGCGGAGAACGAGCGGAGAGGTAAACCGATCAACCTTGACCGGATAGGTTTTCCAACTCAGGTTTGTCCGGTGTTCATGTATACCGACCATTTCTTGAGCGGATTTCATTTGATTGATTTGAGACTTTATTTGAGCGTAGAGTTGAACACCATTTGAGCGGATTCTTAACAGCTTTGAGCGGTTTACACTAAACCTCACATTATTTCATCGGATTATTTCAAATCAGGTAAGTCTAGTTTTTCAATTTTGAGCAGGTTAGGTTTAACATTGAGCGGACTTGACCGGTTTAAGTTTTAAGTCTTGAGCGGTTTAGGATTTAGAAATTTTGTGCATTGAAGTGTTTTGTCYGGTTTATTAAACCGCTCAATAAGTTTCACCGGTTTCTTGTCTTTATTCTGTAAATCGCTCATAATAGTTTCTGGATTTCACTTGTTTGATTGTTACATCTTAATCCGCTCACCATTCTCACTGTGTTCATAGTTGTTGAGCAGTGTGTTAGGTTTTGACAACATACAGGTGAAAAGCAAAGGGATTTTGATTCTACATATTGCTGTGAATGTTTGATTCTATATATTGCTTGAATGCTACTTTGTACAAGGCTATAGAGATTTTCACTTTTGTCAAGTTTGATTTGAATGATTAAAGAACCATACACTGGAAATATACATGCTGTTGGAATTTGAATGATTTGAGTGC